CAACGTCTGGCGAGTCCGGAACGACCGCGTCTTTCCCGCCGACCTACCGCTGCCAAGTCCATGGACGATTGCCGTCAAGGCGGCACGTGTCGCTCAACTGCACTTGCACCACAGCCTCGTACAAGAGCCCGCGCAGCCTGCTCTTCGTCGTCTTCTCCAGCTCCTCGCCCAACATGAGTGGCCACGACGTCACCTCATCCCGCGGATCGCGCTCCTGCCTCCGTCTGCCTAAATCAAGTCCCTCAACCGAGTACACACAACGAAGAAAGTCCGACAATTTTATTTAGCATAGTTTTATCTATTGTAATAGACGACCCACTTCAACAACAACAACGAACGCGGTGTCGGGTGCTCGGTCAACGCGATGGACGGGGCGGCTGATAATGGCCATCTGGAGGTCGTTTGCACGGTCATGGCCATGGACGACGCCGCCACTTGGGGTCATTTGGACGTCGTCGAGTTCCTCCAAACCAACCACACCGAAGGCTGCACGGTCGATGCGCTGGATGGCGCCATCACCCATGGTCATCTGGATGTCGCTCGCTTTCTAATGGAGCATCGATCCGAGGGTGCATCGCCCAACATTCTCGACCTCGCTGCTGCCAACGGTCACCTTGACGTCGTAAAGTACCTTCATTCTCTTGGCTCATTTGGTTGCACCGTCGCCGCCGTCGACAAGGCTGCCAGCAATGGTCATTTGAAGGTCGCCACGTTTCTCTTGACCAACCGAAATGCAGGCTGCACTCGCGACATGGTCGTCCGCTACGCTCTTAAAAGAGGGCATGAGCGTACGACAGAGTACCTCCTCTCGCTTGGGTACCCATTTCCGACCCCAGTGGCCTGGTTTTATCCCGGAAGCTTCTGCAGGCCTGAGATGCGTGGCGTCGTCCAGCGTCTCCTCGCACGCGGTATGCCCTGTGATCCACGCTGGATCGCCCAAGCCAGCGCTGTCAACAACGTGCCACTCGTTCGCTTTCTCCATGAGCATCCCAACCACTCCTGCCACCCCGAAGCGATGCAGGCGGCGATCGTGAACGAGGCGTGGGACGTCGTGGACTTTCTCTTGGCCCACTGCACGGCCAAAGTCGCGGTCGATGCGCTCCGGGCGGCACTGAGTTTCAGTAACCTCGATGTCTCGGTGCGCATGCTCCAGCGCCACCCAGAGCTCCGAAATGACAACCTTCTGGCTTTGGCGATTCACAGCCACGACATCAAGGTGACTGGGTATCTTCTTGCTGCGGGCATTGGCAAGCCGCGCGAGTGCCTCATTGAGATTGTGGGTCGTCGCAACTACGTGACGATGAGCAACCTACTGCTGCCGTACTGCATGGGTGCGACCGACCACATTGGCAACGTCACCTTTCTTTTGGACCTGCTCGAACTGCCCGACAGCCGCCGTGCCCGCCGCCGTGCAACGACCCTCCAGCTGATCAGCCCGAGCTCATGTTCCAAGGAAGAAAGGCCTGTCAAACGATCCAGCTTTCTCCCAGCGTGGTGGCGCGAGCAACAAGTTTGAGGCAGGCTGGCAAGGTCGTCGACTGGGCTTTGGCCCTCGTTATTGGTCATCTGCATGCGACGGCCACCGCCAAGGAACTGATGAAATGGACAAGAATGGTCCATGACGCGGAGCTCTCGACGCAGCTCCATGACCTGCTCTCTACCAAATCGCGCAGCGTATAAAACAAGCGTAAATGTATGTGTCCCTCGATCCAACTGAGAGAACTTGGCGTCGACGACACAAAACTGAAACTCAAAGACCAATATCACGCTCGAGAATACATCGTCGCTGCAAATCATCAGATACCCAATCGCAGACAGTATATGCATCAACCGAGGCAGTGGAGGACATTATATTCACGGGCTCGCGACTTCAACAACCGACGCCTGTAACTCGATCGCCATCGATGCAGCAAGTGCCTCACGGCGTATGGAATACTAGCGCCTGGTCCTGGCAAGGTGCCAGAACCATCTCGCGCGTGAAATGCAGCTGGTACACTGCTGGATGCGCCGCTGACGTGCTCCGAGGCCACAATGATAACACTTTCGATCGCTCGTATCTGGTCGCGCCACGTAGAAGCGACGTTCTCTGCTCTCGGGCCAGGTCAGTGGCAAGTCAAACAGGTCAAATGCAACGTGAGCAACCGAGTAGCTTTCGAACGAGCTCGGTCCCATGCGAGGTCCATCCTTGCCTCGAGCATGCTAGCGCGACGGCGCCCACCGAGCCACCACGTCTCTCGAGCGTCTACTTGAGTACCTCTACAAGTACCTCGTCGTTCAGATCGATTCCTTTCTTCACCAAATGTTGTGTTGCAACTCTCGCCGTGAGGCCGCCACCCTACGGTAGAATGTACGTTTGTACTTGCAATCTGTATACTGGTGCCAATATACACCTCGGTTTCCTTGGGAATCAAGGAGTCTGTCGGGAGCGCCGCCGCGGCCATCAGCTCGACGTCCAGAGGCCTACATGGTTAGCTGCCGGGTCTTGCTCGCAGCGAAGGCGAAGCCTGCTTTTTCACCACTTCAATGCGCGTCCAGTACATCTATGTACTGTACGCTTAGTATGTATGTTTGTATGGGCAGTGTACGTTGTACTTTGTACCTGCGCCAGCGGGCGATCGAACGCGGTTGCGATCTCGCAGCATTCTGCGTTTTGCCATGTTGTACGCAATTGGTTTCGCCCTCGTCGCTGCCGTGCTCGCCGGCCTCTCGCCGCTCTACTGGACGCACCTCGACAACGTGCCCGTCCTCGAGATCGTCGCGCACATGGTCCTCTGGTCGACGCTGCTGCTGGTGGTCACGATCACCGCGACGGGCCGCCTCGGCCTCTTCATCAACGTACTCGACAAACGCACGGTGCTCCTGCACTGGATCGCCAACGCATTCATGGTGTGCAACTACTACCTCCTCGTCCACGCCTCGCTGCACGCGACGCTACTCCTGCTCAGCATGGGCTATTTCTTCGCACCACTGCTCGAGAGCCTGCTTTGCCGCGTCTTTCGCCGCGAAGTGCTCTCGTCGCGCCAGGACGTCGCCATCGTCGTCGCCGCCTTCGCCGCCATTGTGATTGGCATCGGTTTTGAAGCCGTTCCGTTTGTCGGGCTCCTCGCTGCCGTCTCGTTAGCGCTCCACCGCGTGTTGAAGAGCGTCAAGCCGCTGCCGCCCGTCATGGGCGCTACGCTCGAGGGCCTTGGTCTCGTCGTGCCCGCGATCGTGTACATCGCCGTCATCACCACCAACGGCACGAGCCTCTTCTGGCACATTAGCGGCCACGTGAACGGGCTTCTTATCGGGACCAGCGTAATCATCGTGGTGCCCCTAGCCTTTGTGTGCAAGGCGGCAGCGTCGCTCAGCCCCAACGTCCTCCAGCTCGTGGGCGCCGCGACGCCGACAGTGTTTTTGTTCTTGGCCATCTTCAAATCGCACGAAGCGCTCCCGCTCATCGCGTTCATCGGGTACCTCATGCTCTGGATGGCGTTCACGATGGACATCATGGAGCGTCTCCGCCGAACCAAGGAGACGAAAGCGTCCGAGATCCTCGGCGACGCCGGCATGGGCGACGGCTTCGTCGCGGCCAGCCCCGTCTAAGCCAACTCTGTGAACCTACCGTGTGCATAACTGCTGTGCCAATACATCTCGTCCTGTCGTCTGCGTGGTATCGATTCAATGATAGCGTCGTGATCTTCTTGGTGCAAGCGCACTGGTAGTACGAACGAGATGCGAACGAGCTACCTATGCAAACACTATAAGATCTTGGTGGTGGAGACCGAGCGATAGAATGGCCGGCGATAAGAAGAGCAAAAGAGCAGCAGCCGCGCCGACCCGAGCACCGTCACCAACTTCCACCGTGGCAGCGATTCTGCCAGGACCACGCGCACGAGGGTATGTATCATCTCTTGCCAGAGCCGGGCCCGGATCGGCGGTTGCTGCTGCTGCTCCAAACGTGTAATGACTCCAAAGTGGCTGTCGCTCGCTCTGCTGGTAAAAGCGAGCTGCTCCTGCTTCTCCCTCAAAGCGACAGGGCGAGCTGTAAAGGCAACGAACTCATCGTAGAGCCAGCGCCACTGCTCGCGCTTGCCAACCTGCGGGTCGTTGCAGAGCGATCTACACTTGCCGAGAGCTGGCGTGACGACGGGTCCGACTGAATCGATGACGCCCTGTCGTCGCTTCAGCTTTCTATCACTGGCGCATCCTCCTCCAGCCAAGGAAGGTAGTGCTGCTACCTGCGATCAGCTGCGAGAAACAGAGATTCCTGGCTATTCGTCTCCAGCGCTCCAGCCATGCCTCTCAGCACTTGCCATCTCTGCGACGACGACGACTCCTGCGCGTCACCTCGTCCAGACGACCCGCGCAGCCATCCTTCTCGGTCGGCGCTACGTCCGAGCTGACGCGCCGCCGCTGGGTGCACCTTGGTACTTCAATGCACGGTGTTTCGTACCGTACTTTGTGTACGTTTGTTCTTGTGCTTTGTATGTAATGTACGAGTACAATCCGTACCATCACACGCGTGGCGATCTTGACACGCCGGTCAGTTGGCCTTTCTCGACGTGGTAGCAGTAGTATGCTCCAAGGGCTGGTCTGCGCACTGGCCGCGTACGCTGTGGCCGGCGTTTTCCCGCTCTACTGGCGGCTTCTGGATGCTGCGCCGCTTCTCCAAGTCGCTGCCCACTGCGTCGTTTGGGCGGCGACAACCTTCACCGTCCTCCTCGTTGCCACGGGCCAGTGGCGGGATTTCTGGACGCTGGGCCTCACGCGCAAGAACGTCCTCGTGTATGCACTCGCCGGCGCCCTCCTCACCTTCAACCACGTCGTCATGATCTACGGCACCGCGTCCCGAAACGTGCTCGAGCTCAGCGCCGGTCTCTTCCTCGCGCCCTTCATGGACGCCGTCCTCGCCCGCATCGTCCTCGGCGAGCCCATCTCGTGGCGGCAGTACGCATCGATCGCGTGCTCGCTCCTCGGCGTCGGGCTTGTTGGTGTCGGTAGCACGTTGGTCCCGATCATCGCACTCGTGCTACCCGTGACCACGGGCATGTACAACATCCTCAAGCCCATGGCCCCGCTCGAGATGCTGCACGGCTACGCGCTCGAAGCGCTCCTCGCACTTCCACTCGCCGCCGCGTACCTCATCATTGAGTCGGCACGCGGTGCGAGCGTCTTTGTCGGCGGCGGCTCGAGCGATAGCTGCCTCCTCGTCGGCGCCGGGCTGCTCTCGGTGGTGCCACTGCTCTTGCTCACCCGCGCCGCCATGCTTCTGCCGACCGTCTCGTTCAGTGCGCTCCAGTACATCGCGCCCATCATTCAGCTGTGCCTCGCGAGCTTTTACTTTCAGGAACCGCTGACGTGGCTCGCGCTGGTCGGCTGCGGCGTCATTGTGCTGGCGGCCGTCGCCTTTACATGCGAAAGCATCCGCGAGGCGAGCAAGGCCAACGACCTGCTGCCTGCGCTCTACACGATCTACTTGTATGGCAGCCCCGTGCAGTCGAGCTTGGGCTATCTCGACCGGCCGTCGCTCGAGGTGTAGCGACATGGGACCCGTAAAAATGATACTAGTATAACGTTGTGGTCGTGGGACTAGGGTTTTGCGTCCTACACTTGTGGGATGGGTCATTTTCTTTCAAAGCGGGCGTTAAAGTCGTGGAGGTTGGGCCCGTTGGCTTGTTTAAACAGGCTGGGATGGCATTGCACAACATATATTGCGTGTCCGAGCCATGCCCGCGACCTTCACCCGCACCATCCTCGGCCAGCCCGAGATCGCCTCGATCGTCTTTGCGTTTCAGTTTGGCGTCTACGAGGACGTCCGCCCGGCCTTCCGCGCCTGCGATGAGCTCGTTGAGTTTGTCGTCGAGCCGGACGACAATGTCTACGCGTGCGACGCGTCGTTTCCCGAGGCGTTTGCGCCCACGCCAAGTGGCCGCACAGTCTCGAATTCTTGGACCCATGTCAGTACGCTCTACACGGCCACCAGCGCGACGACCGCCTCCCACTGCACATGGCCATTGCCAGAGGCTGTGGGCAGCTGACGAAGCGCATGCTTGGCTGCCGACCGGACCTCGCCTCGGAGGGCGCGATTCGTTTGGCCATCGGAGAAAGCCGTCTCGAGATTGCCGACTTTTTGCTGACGCGGCGGGCGACAGTGCCACAGCTCTATCGACGCGTCGACACGGGCGCCACCGGTACGCTTCCTATACGAGCTTGGACGTGGATGCAGACGCACATAATGTATGGCATAGACATCTCTCAATGCCCGAGTATTTGGATGTCCGGAATCCTGGACCGAGACGACGCGAGAGGCGTCGAGCTGCTGCAGCGCTTTGACCTGCGTCGTGACGACGACTTTTTCCATGACATTGCGCACGCGGTCAACTATGCGACAGTCGAGAACTTGACGCTCGTCCTCGACGCCTTTCCTTGGCTCACCTCTGCACCCCGCTTGGACAATGTGGCGGCCCGAGGATTTTTGCCTCTGGTCCGGTCGCTCCACGCACGTGGTGTCGCGTGCTCCACAAGTGCGATGGACGCCGCAGCTAGCAACGGTCATGTGGACGTTGTCGAGTTTCTCCATGTCAACCGGACGGAAGGCTGCACGACCAAGGCACTCAACGGCGCCATTTCCAACGGCCACCTGGACGTTGCCCGCTTCCTCATTGAGAACCGCACCGAAGGCGCTTCCATCAACATTCTCAACACAGCTGCCGGCAACGGTCACCTTCACGTCGTGGAGTACCTCCATTCTCTTGGCACGTTTGACTGCACCACTGACGCTGTCAACAAGGCGGCTGCCGGTGGTCACTTGGACGTCGTCCAGTTCCTTTTGACGCACCGAAGGGAAGGCTGCACTCGCGACATGGTCGTTCGAAATGCGCTCAAAAGCGGGCATTTGCGCACCGCAAAGTACCTCCTCTCGCTCGACTACCCGTTTCCGACCGGGGAAATTGATTTCGACGCTGATATCTACGACAAGCCCGAGATGCTGGATGTGCTCCGGCTCGTCATGGACCATGGCCAGCCGTGGCACGAAGACTGGGTGGGAAATGCGTGCGCCATGAACAATGTGCCTCTGGTGGCGTTTCTCCTCAAGCAGCAAGACGCTCGCTGTGGCCCCGGAGCACTCGAGACTGCGATCGTGGCACAAGCGATGGACGTCGTGCGCTATCTCTTGGCCAACTGCACGACGCCCGTTTCGTTGGCTGCGCTGGAGTGGGCGTTAAGCCATTGCAGCCGCGATCTTTTGTCTCAAATGCTGCTACGCCACCCCGAGCTCCGCGACGACGAGCTGCTTCGCGAGGCGTCGAGCGGCCACAACACAGAGGCAATGCGCTACCTCCTCCCTGCCGGTATTGGGAAGCCGCGCGAGTGCCTCGTCGAGATTGCAGGTCGTCGAGAGCACGTGACGGCGAGCAAGCTCTTGCTGCCGTACTGCATGGGCGTAGCCAACTATCTCGACAACATCATCTTTCTGTTGGATCTTTTGGCGCTGTCCGACCGCCGCCGTGCGACGATGCTGCAGTTGATCACGTCCGAGCTCACGTACCAAGGAAGAAAAGCCAGCCAAACGATGCAGCTGGCACCGAGCGTGGCCACGCTTGCATCCACTCTGCTGGAGGCGGGCGAGGTTGTGGACTGGGCTCTGGCTCTCGTCATCGGTCATCTCTATGCGACCGTCAGTGCTGACGAGCTGGCGAAATGGACAAGCATGGTCCGCGACGTCGAGCTCACGGCGCGACTGACGCGCCACTACAGCATGCCCCAGCGCTCGACTAGCGACATGGAATAGGCTTGGATAAGGAATGGAATACATGTTGCAGCGCAACACTCTCGGGCTGCGACGTATCAATATCGCTGGGACATAGCGTCGGTCCCTCGTAGCCGATGACGTGGAACGAGCAGGTGCCATTGCTTGATTTGCAACTTCAACGTTTCAAGTTGAAACACGCGGCAGTCTATTTTGAGCACCCATTTCGTGGTATGGCGACGCGAGCGCCCCGGTACGCGGCTGGCCTGCGCGCCTCTTCTCATCCTCTCTGCGCCGTAGCCAAGGGCTGTCGCCGCGCCGCCGGGAGCGGCTCCTGCGCGTGCTCAAGCAGGCGCAGCAGGCGCAGCGACCACCTCGCCTCAATGCGTCCCTCACCGAGCCAAGGAGCGCGCCCGGGGTTGGCGACGTGGGGCGAAAGGCCAAGGGTTCGAACCCCAAAGCCGAGCTTCGCATTCACAAGGTGCTGCAGAGTCGAGAGACGCGGACGCCAGTTGTTGTATCGTCGAGCTGCAACCAGCACCAACAAGACCTCGAGGATGAAGACGCTCGGTGCGACCATCCATGGCACCGCTTCTCACAGAGCAATTATGCATCTCCGATAGCGTCCTCGCCTACGAAGCATTCCAGCGGCAAGAGAGAAAGGCCCAACAGCGAGCGTACAGCAGCGCCCTCATCGAGCAGGTTGCTCCCGACCGATCGTGCCTGCTTCAAGGCAAAGAGGTCTAGATGAACGCCAAGCTACAGCTGCAAGACGACGACGCCGTCGACGACCGACTCTACGCGGAGCATCTCGCGTGGGAAACCGTTCAAACCAACGTCTACGAGGTGCCTGCTAACAAGAATGCGGACGCGCCTCAACCTTGCGGGTAAATAGAAGACCAAGGTGGACGCCAAGCGCAAGGTCACGACTGAGATGCACGCAGCGCACCGGGCGACGGCCGACCAAGCCAAGCGGTGGCAGGCCGTGCAGGACCTTCTTCAGCGCTTTAACGATCGCATGCTCATCTTGCCACCGGCCGAGGCGCGCCGCGTACGTGTGCGATGGCACAACGCCCAGTGCATTCCATGTGCCTAGGCCTTTGACGACGCGGCGCGCGAGCTCCACCGCGTCTGCGCGAGCGTCTTTGCCTCGGTACCTCGTCGATCCACACCCATCTTGATGTTACGCGTGTAGAAGGACAAAAACGAGTGGCTTGCCGTCGAGGTGCTGCGACTGTCGACGCAAACTCCGATCTTAGTGTCCGACGTAGCGCTGCCTAGCTGACAGGCTGCCACGTATTTTCCACGAGATTCAAATGAACGAGGCTCGCGAGCTCCGGGCTGCGGTACGTCCACTCGAGATCCCTTGACACATTGATACAACGTGGGCATAGGAGCTCGCTGCGGCCAAGCAGACCCAAGTTCGCATCGTCAAAGAGAGCCAGAAGAGCCAGATTGACCAACGCGCGACGCTCCGACACGACCGAAGACATGAAGAGGTAGTGCTGTTGTGCCAAATCGTTGGCGAAAAGAACGCTCAAGCGCTGATTCTCTAGCGGGCGCTCTTGCATGCGCTGGAGCAGGACAAGGCCAAGCTCGACGCCCACGTCGCTGCCGCGCAGGAGACGTGGCAGGCACGTCAGCAGCAGCACCAAGCGGTGCGAACGAGCGAGCGCGGGGGAAATCAAATCTCACGGAGCGTAGGCGCTTCGCGACCAAATTCTGGCGCGGGCAGAGCTACGCAAGCTCGACCGGCCGTTCCAGCAGCGACCGAAAGGACCGGTGGTGCGACGCGAGGTCGTTTGAATTTCATGCGAAACTATGTGTCACCGGGGATCGATGCGTAGACCAGTCGCCCGCCATGGTGGGTCAACCCCGAAGGTCCTGTCGCACCACCGACACTGGCCGTCGAGCTCTCGTTTCCCGCTAAGACCGATCATTTTGGCCGTAAAAAGTGCTCCTGGTACGACTAGATCCCACCAAAACGAATCCAAGAAATGACATTCTTGTACATGATGCACGAGGTTATGGACAGCAACTAGAAATGCGTGAGGCGGGTACGCAGTGGCCGCCAGAGGTGGCGCTGGAAAAACGAGGTCTGCGATGCGTCGCGGCGGATCTGCTGGAGCACCTTGAGCACGCGTCGCTGCTTGTACTCTTTTGCAAAGCGGATGGCGGCGTCGAGGTGGAACCAGTGTGGCTGCGGCTGGTGGCGCCAGAGGTAGAGGACACAGTGCACGTGGTCGTTCCGGACTGCGTACAGCAGTGCCTGGCGCGAGCAGCCTTCCTTGCGAAACTGATGCAGGAATCGTAGACACTCCATCTGCCCGTACGCGGCAGCGTAGTCCATCGCGCGCGTCGTGCAGCCGGCGCGGCTCGCCTTGTGCAGGAAGAGGAGCACGTCGCATTGCCCGTGCATTGCGGCCACGTCCATGGCGCGGTCGTTGTCCCACGCAGGCAATAGTCGCCGCGTCATCGGCAGATCGCCGGCGGCAATCGCCTTGTGGTAGTATAAGCTACAAGACGACGGCGCGTGAGCACAAGAAGGTGGATTGGCGCGTCGTCGTACTGTGGATCGTCGTAGCTCGTCAAGCAGTACATGTCCTGCTCGTCGACCGTGGGAGCGCGCAGGAGCGTCCGAGGTCGGGCGTCGCTGGGGTCGTCGATGAGATGCGATGGCGCGCGCATGTGAAAATGGAAAATGAAAGGCAGCAGGTGCCCACATGTCGCGGAATACCTGTGTACGCGATCACATTGCACGGGACGCGGGCGCATGCCAGGTGGATTGCACAGCCCTGCATGGGCGCTGGCTCATCAAGGCGAATGGCGAATGGAAGAGGCCAGGCGTCAGCATGAAGCCATGGCATGAAGCGAGCCGTTCGAGCGCAACGCTCGCCAAGCAGAAAGCCTGATCTCATGGACGTGGGACATGACGTGGCAGCATATGCTGCGCGCTTTCGTCGTGCTGCGATATGACTGGCGGCCTGCATGAAATCCACCGGAAGCTTCAAGAAGGCTGCTTCCGACCTTCTCGGGGCGGACTGCTTGCGCTAGAACTCTGTCGCTGCCAACGAGAAGCGGTCGGCTCTCTCTACGTAGGACTCCTGTCGTCGCTTCCCCGAGCGATCTGCCGCTTCCTGTTGCATTTGCAAACGCTGCTATCATCCATCGTCTCATTTTCTGACAAGTACTGTACTAGTATATCCATATGACCCGCTGTGGTATCTTGCATTACGAGGGACTCGAGAGCAGCACTTGATACCAGTGCTTCTTGGTGGGCGGCGCGGGCGAGAGCCGCTGCAGAATGGCGACGACGCGCCAGTGCTGGTTGCGTCTGGCCATGGCCTCGGCCTGGTGCAGGTAGGCCCAGCGCGGTGTCGGTGGATGCGCCAAGAGGAACTCGACGCACTCGACGTGCCCGCCGGCTGCCGCGTACGTCAGCGCCTGCTGGGAGCAGCCTTCGCCTCGGTGGGCATGGAGAAATGCGAGGCAGGCGACGTGGCCATAGGCCGCTGCATAGTCCATCGTCCGCGACGTGCAGCCGGCGTGGCCGCGCAGATGCAAGTACATGAGCACGGGCAGCTGGCCCCAGATCGCCTAGTCCATCAGATATTACCGGTGGTCGCAGCAAGGATACATGTAGGCAGTACCGCAACGTCCATGGCGCGGTCGCTATCATAGTACGGAAGGAGGTCGCGGACGCCGACGAGGTGGCCGTCCGCGATGAGCTGGTGGAACGCGTAGCTAGCACTCGCAGCCATGAGTTCTTATGTGCCGGTTTAGCTTCGTCGTGTACTGGGGGTCGCGGCTGCTACGGAGGCAGAGCTGCTCCTGGACGGTGCTCGTGGGCCGCGGCCTTGCCGCGCGCAAGTGGCGGGCTACCGCCCATCTAGTGCAAGCTCAGCGATGCGCGGCCACTCGTCGGTCCTACCGCAGACCGGTCTGGTACGCTGCGATCTCGCATAGGAGGCTCGGGTTGCGCAGCACGGACGTTGACGCTCGGTCCATCGCAAAACTCAAAAATCGGCTTTTTGAGCCAAAAAAATGTCTTTTCGGGTACTGCGCGTGGCGCCGTGACTGACCGGCGCCGGATACTACTATTACCACCTCCACCTCCCAAGCAGCCGCCACTTGCTGCTGCTGCCTCCACAATCTGCTGCTGCTGCTACCCGGCGTCACTAGGGCGTCACAGGCTCCGTCTGCCCACCCCTTGGACGATCCCACCACCATCTGCTCGGTCCATGCTCGTAGACGCAGCCTCGTGTTGAGAGATCGGTTTAACGCGTCGCTTACTGGAAGAGCTCGGGCGTCTGGTCCTCGACGTACAGCAGCGTCTCGTTGACCTTGGCGCCCCACGCACCGAGGCGCGCCTGCAGTTCGCCGAGCTGGTCCTTCTCCAAGACGCGTGGCTACGCACAAGGATACAGGCTTCAGCGCCCCATCGACAAGTGACGCGAGTGTACCTGGACCCACTGCACCGAAACGACCGCGTCCACTTGGTCGATCGAGCCCTTGATCAGGCCGAGCGAGAGCGCGCGCATGACGAGCCACTCGACCTGGTTGAGCGGGAGGCGCGTCGCGGCCGCAATGTCGGCAAACGAAATGTTGCGCTCGTTCGACGGGCGGTGGAAGATGAGCACCATGAGCGCGAGCAAGGCGACCTTCTCCTTGACGTAGTCTTCCTTGTTGACGAGCGCCGGCTGCCATCATCCCAATCAGATTCCGAAGCAGAGGAAGCGCCGTACCTGGGCGTTGTACTGGGCGCGGTGGTTGCCGACAATGATGTTGAACTGGTCAATGTCGCCACGGTTGAACGCGTGCAAGAGGTCCGAGAGCCACTCCTTGTCCGTACCCTTGAGCGCACCCAAGATGGGTGTTGCCAGCTACGCCATCATGAGCTACCATTGCGAGACGCATGGAGGCCAACGTACGACTTCGCCAAAGTTGAAGACGTCTTCGCCCGTCAGCGCCGCGACGCTGAGGTTGATCGCGAGGGAGAAGCGCTCGGCGGGCTTGATGTCGTCGTAGAGCGAGTACGCGAGAAACATGAGCGCGCTCTTGTAAAACTTGTCGGCCGGGCTACGCATGCAAGGGCCGATCGACACGCGGCAAAGGAAGCATGGAGGCGTACCCGACAGCCGAGTAGTATTCGCACGCAACGCGGTAATAGGCCGCATGCACGAGCGGGTCGGCGCCGACAAGGCCCTCGACAGTCTCCTTGTTCTCGGCGAGGAGCGCCTTGACCTCGGCCGTCTGCGAGAGGCGCAGCTGGTAGCTGGCCATGTACATGCGGCACATCAAGACCGACTCGATGGCGTGCGGGTTGGCAGTCGCGTACGACGAGACCGAGCTTTTCTTCGTGTGCAGATGCGTGAGGATGCCGTTGAGGAACGCGACGGCCTGCGCGGGCTCTATGAATGACACACGATGATAAGCCATGCAGTGGCGAACGGCGCCACGCCTACCCGTGTAGCGCGTGGCAATTTCGCCGCAGATGCGGATGAGCGAGAGCTGGTTGATCTTGTCCTGGAAGGTCGCGATGAAGCGCGTGTAGAGGTCGACCCAGTTGCTGCCGACGGACGAGGTCTCGTCCTTCACAAAGGCGAGGAGCTCTGTCGTGAGCTCATGATACAGCTTCCGCGTGTAGAGCTCGCCGAGGCTCGCGTAGCGCGCGGCCAGCGCCGGGTACTTGGCCTGTTCCTCGCGCAAGAAGTCCATCCTCGTGTCTTGACCCCAATATGACTGTGGAATCCACCCTGCAATCGGTCATTTCAGCCAATCAAAGCATCGGTATCCTGGTTCCAACATCGACTTTTAACCAATCACGAGCCGTTGAGGCACTTGGATTTTAACCAATCCCAAGGCGCTTTTCATCGAACGTATGCAGTGTCAAAGGACCTCTATCAACAAATACGGTGTTCAAAACAAGGCTGTTTTATACATGCACCAATGATACACTCAAGTTGGTTCGATACCACGGTGTCGCCCGCCTCCTCACTCGACCTGGTCCGAACCTCGACGACGATGGGCCACTGGCGCCAGAACAACTGCACCTACCTTTGCAGCCAATGTCCTGATTGCAACCAGAAAAGCTAGAGTCCCCACGCTCGACGACACCACAATCCTCACTGCGGCCCTCAATGACCGTGGCCCTTCTTCGCCGAGGGTCGCCAGGTGTGACGAGCGCTTAAAGTAGCCACACGCCTAGACCGTCCACAGAGACGCTAGTGAGCGCCGGCGAGCATCTCTGGCGGCACGCAAATCGTTGGCGGTGACCGCTCGCACAATGAGCTGGCAGCCGTGCCGAGGACGCAGCTCGGGTCGTACTAGCGGAACGGCAGCAGCGGCGAGGCGAGCTGCCAAGCGCGTCAAAAAGCATACACGAGCACTTGGGCGTGGACTCGGAACTCGAAGTGGTCGACTAAGGCGACCACCCTGCCCTTCGCTTGCATCCCACCGTTGCGCGGAGGTGTATTTTCGATAGTGGCATTTGTATAAAACACGTATTCGCGTCATGACCTCGGTGCTCGGCGACGCCGGCCTACTGCGGCTTATCGTGCAGTTCCAACACGGCGTGTACGAAGAGCTCCTGCCGTGGCGCAAGGAGGCCGCGGCCATGGACACGGCGTGGCACCCGTCCGTGCAAGGTCTCATGTACACGCACCTGCCGCAGCGCTTCTTGCATCTGCCGTACACGTCCGAGCACGTCCTCTTCTTGCCGCAAGCGGTCTTGCTGCCCGCACGCCACTTGAATCTGAGCTCGACCGAGCGCGACCCGCGCCTGCCGCTGCACATTGCCATCATCGACGGCGACACGCGGCGCATTGGCCGCTGGCTTGGTTGCTACCCAGAGTGGGCCTCGCCGTCGGCGCTCGACCTCGCGGCGCAGGTTGGCCACCTCGACGTCGTCGTCTACTTGCACGCGCACCGCGTCGGGTGCACGACGAATGCCATCGACTACGCAGCAGGAAATGGCCATCTCTCGATCGTGCGCTTCTTGGCCGAGCACCGCAAGGAAGGCTGCACCGAGAATGCCATGTACGATGCCGCCATGTACGGGCACCTCCCGGTCGTCAAGTACCTCTACGAAGCCGGCCTCGCTCGCTGCTCGTCGATCGCACTCATGCACGCGACGTGGCACCAGCACGACGCGGTCGCCGCCTTCATCCACGCCCACTGCGACGACCCGATCCCGCCGCCGTTGTAGTCGGCATCCCTCGGATACCTAATAGACCCCATCAGTGTTGTACTCTACTAATACCTGCAGCAGCGCCGCTTGATTGTCATGGCAGCTGTTGATACATCGCAGCACCGTTCCTCGCACTCCTCACACTGCCGTGCTTACTGTCTGCCCGTGGACTGACGCATGCGAGTCATCTCGTCGGTGTGCGGAGACGGCAGGGTCGTTCGCGTAGAAGAGATGCGTTCGACCTCGCAAAACGACAGAGTACCGTCGTTGCTACGTGCAAGTAAGCACGACACGCCGTCACGTTAGCTCACCTGGATGGCGATCATCTCGCGTGCAACCAACGTCGATCCTACCCAAGAGTACATAGATCCGATTTCTGTTAGCTGGCTCTTGATCCTACCCAGCGCCGAGCACCGGCCTCAAGGCGACATCAATTCCATTGAAGGGATGTACTCTAGCTGCCCGGTGCTCCCATATTGGTACTCACTTGGAGGCGGCCGCTTGCACTTGGTTGCACGTCAAAGTGGCGCGAGAGCGTTACGCACGCCGGCGAGATCTTCTGCCACGTCGCGAGGTCGGGATGGTGTTTCTCAGGACGCGCCCAAATCCACGCGACACAGCACCGTGGATTCGCTCGCGCCTGTACTTGGGACGGTATGGAGAACTGGGGTGGCAAATGGCGTGCGATTAGCCACCGATCAAGATGACGGCCAACGGCCATGCGAAAATTCGTTCCCCGACCGACCAGAGCGCAATATGCCCCGACGACGAAGCAGCGAGCGCGAGGCCAAGGCCCACGACGATGAAGTCGACGAGTCCAAGAGCTGCACGAGCGACGACGACCACACGAGCGACGAGGACAAGGACGATGAAGAGCGGTCGGACGCAGCGCCACCCACGGGCCGTCGCCTCACGGCCCGCCGCAACACAGGTATACGACGCGACCTCGTGCGGAGGCTCATGGTACCTAGTGATGGCGGCGCCGCTCGAGCTCGAGCGTGGCTGGACGCCGCCGCGGTATTGCAAGAGCGCAAGCGAGAAGAGCGACATTCGCACGGCGCTCAGCCACAACTGCCTCTTTGCGCACCTCGACGAGTGCGCCCGCGACGTCATCATTGACGCCATGCAGCAGCGCTTGTACGACAAGGGTAGCGCAACGGCTATTGCCTATGGCGCGTCATCTGTGCGCGTAGGCGATGTGCTCATCCGGCAAGGCGACGACGGCGACACGTTCTACCTCCTCGCGAAAGGGTCGGTGGACTGCATCATTGACCGCGACATCGTCGGGTCGTGCGAGGCCGACACCCGCAGCAACCACTTTGGCGAGCTTGCGCTGCTCTACGACGGGCCGCGGTCGGCGACGGTCCAAGCGGCGACGGACGTGGCCACATGGGCGCTGGACCGCGAGACGTTCAAGAAGGTGCTCATGGACACGACGCTCAAGCAGTGCAAGCTGTACGCAGCCTTCTTGGCCGAGGTGCCGATCCTCTCGGTGCTTTCGCCGTACGAGAAGCGGACGCTCGCGGATGCACTCAAGCCCGTCTTTTGCGAGCAAGGCCAAGTCATCCTCGTGGAGGGCTCGCGCAGCGATGACTTTTATATTATTTCCGACGGCGAAGTCAAGTGCACCAAGAACGGCGTCGAGGTGTCGCGGCCGCTCGGCAGCGGTGATTTTTTCGGAGAAATCGCACTCATCTCGAACGAAGTGCGCCAAGCGACGGTAATCCCATTGACACGAGACGCCAGCTTGAAGCATGCGTAGGTCACGGCAGTGCGCGACACGACCGTGCTCGTGATCGATCGAGAGACGTTCAAGCGGCTGCTGGGACCGATGGAGCTGCACCTGCGCAACCACGCGAGCTTGTACGACCAGTACATTGGCCATCGAAAATAATACCGTGTATGAATCGCACTACCGGATCGCCTGTCGTCGCCCGAACGTCGTGGACATTGCCGAAATAGGATCAAGTTGAAGTTGAAGCAAGGCCACGTGGAGGATTCGGTGCGGCTTTTTCTCTTTACGCACCTCTCGATGAGGGCCGTTTTGATGCGATTACGCACCTATTTGCGGGAAATGGTGCGCATCGATGAAGAAAGGTGCTCTTTTCGTGGACGCACGGAGAGGCAGCAGATGCGTGAGCGATGGACTTTGGTGCGCGCAATCTGCAGTGCCGGACAGACAGCCTACCAAAAACGACCTCGCTCGCAGGCGTGCGTACTGCAGAGCTACAGTTCGATGTGCGCTCGGAGCAGACAAGGGGCTGCCACAGTGGCAGCCCTGACGTCGGAGTGGCAGTGCCACTCCGACGTCAGGGAGAGATCCGTACCTAACGTGTGGCTCAAGAAAGCTATTGCGTTAGCTCTAGGCCAGGACAACGCGATAGGATACGAGACGTCGCTGCGATGGAGAGCAAAAGAGTAGCAGCAGCGCCAACCCGAGCACCGTCACCAACTTCCACCGTGGCAGCGATTCTGCCAGGACCACGCGCACGAGGGTATGTATCATCTCTTGCCAGAGCCGGGCCCGGGTTGGCTACTGCTGCTACTTTTGTGTGACATCGATTTTCCTTCTCGCGCTGGCTACCGAGGGAGAATCGTGAGAGAATGGATTTTACAATGCGAGAGAAATACCTTGTAAATGCCATAACGACGGGAAAAAGAGCGCGCGGACGGGGTCGAAGCGCGTGCCGTTTGCTTACGAAGCAGGAATCCACCGACTAGACAAAAAGCGCTCGACAGAATGTGAGCGCCAACATGGCATTGAAACAGTTGCAAAATGCAAAATCAGTTGCGTGTCGTTAGTCTATGATGCGACAGGCTCAATTGACCAGCTTGGACCACATCCATGTGGAAGCGTAGCTCTCGATGTGGTTTGCAGTGCAGAGTGGACGGGCTCTAGTGTAGGTACACGACAATGATCGGCGTCGTTGGCTGTGCTATGCAACACGAGGGACCACACACCCCGACGACACAAAGACACGCTGTAGGTACGACGTGGCCAACGGACGCTAAATCCACGCGCCTTTAGCCGGCGACTGCGCGCGGTTAGCAGAAGCGTTGCGGCGGCGACGTCCTGCATGCATGTATGACCTGGGCTTGTCGTGTGCCAATCTATGATCGCACGATCTCGATGGCGCGAAGCTCCCACTCGACAGGTTCTAGAGCGCCTGGTTGATGCAGATCTCATACTGGTTGATCAGACTGCGAGCGACCGTCAACGCTCAACCACGTTCCATCGCTAACGTCATCTAGCCACACCAAAGCACTGCACTGACCTTGCCCGACAAGGACGGCTTTTCTATCAAGTTAATATTTGAGCCATCGAACATGCACCATGTCGTGCAAAGAGGTGCTCATTTGAATCCAAGTGGCAGTCCATATCCAGCAAAAGCGCACCGACCTGATGACGCTTTTCAACTGCAACGTGAGATCGTCCATCAACCAGCTTCATTAATGGTTACTCTCTAATACCAGCTACCAGTATGATAGAAAGGACCTCTGGGCGTATCGAAGCAGGTGACGACCAAGTACGACTACCGATATGCTTCAAGTGACGTTGCTCGTGGAGTACGCTGGTGCTTGCGGCGTCGCTTCGCGCGCTCAAGCATCGAGGCCGACGCACAAGACGGGCCGCCGCAGGAGCCGCAGTCGCACAGCTCCAAAGCGGCGGAGGCCAAGAGAGCCGCCGCATCGCAGTGCCCCAGCTCGTTGAGTGCCGCCGTCACTGCTGCTAGGAGCTCCAGGGTCCGTCCATCGGCTGTTGCGAGCCACTGCGTGAACGTGCCAAGTGCCCCGGGATCGTGCGCGCTGAAGAAGCTCGCCACGTCGAGCAAGAGGTGCTGCGGCATGTCGCCATCGTCTCGGCGCCGCTTGGAGGACGCACCTTTCACCTCGTAGTGGTGCTGGAGGGCGTCGCACCTGCCGCTCAAACTGTCGACGTAGATAGCGTGCATGGCTTTCGAGAGCAGCGCGGTGTCTGCCGTCGCGGTCGTTGTGGCCACGACGCAAATCGCTGGTATGGCGCCAAGGCCGAGATGGTGCCACGTCTGTGTCAAGAGCGTGGGCAACAGGGCGTACTGCGCCAAGAGCTTGAGAAAGGTGACGAGATTCTCGACGATTGGGGTCGTGGCGTCCGTCTCCAGCGCGTCGATGGCTGCTTGCAGTAGCTGGCGCGTCATTGGCGGGTGCTCTTCCAGCGGTGCCAGCGCCGGCGCCAGCACGTCCACCGAACTGTAGATGCGACTGGTCTGAACCACGAGCAAGAGCGTCGTCGGTCGACGCACAAACGTCCAAATGTGCTGCTCCACCTTGGCGGGGACGAGCGCCGCCAAGCAGCCCGCGACCCGGGGCGCCACCGATGGCCGCGCAAAGAACGCTTCCAGCCGCAAGACAGCGGTGAGGACCTGGACGTGATCCAAGAGCTCGGAGCTATCGCCGCGCAGGGACCAGAGACCCTGCATAACCGCCTCGATCGGGTTGTCGAATCTCGCGGGTTGGAGCACCGGGGCGCTGCTGTGGGTGACACCGTACAAAGCCAAAAGGAGCTCGAGGGTCGGAAGAAAGCACGCTCGGTGCAAGCTTCCAGTGCGGCGGACCATGGCCAAGATCGCTGGCTCGAGAGGCGACCAGCCATACTGGGCAACGACAGCGGCGACAGCCGACGCCACCTCGGTGTTGCTGACGCGAACGATCTTTCCTACAAAGGCTTGTGCTTGCAAAGGCCGTTGAAGCCAAGCGCCGCTGCTTGCGTGCGGAGGACGTCGCAGAAGTGTACTTGCCGGGCGGCCACGTTGCCGCGACTGTCGTGGGCGGCGTCCGGTGCGAAGAGAGCCATCATGGTCTTGCTCAACACGTCGTCAATGCCACTGCAGCAAGAGAGAAGCGGGTTCAAGAACGGCTTGCCGCGACAGAGCAAGTTCATGGTCGTCTCGAAGCCGAGGAGGCGCAGCGCCATCGAGCGCGGGTAGATGAGTGCATGAACAGTCTGGAGGTTGCTCTCGGGACGAGCGCCGAACCACTGTTGGACAGAGAGACCGACGACAGCGTCGAGGAAGAGACGTGGCGGTTGCTGGTTGGCAGTGGCACCACCGCCTTGACGACAAGCTGCGTTCGATCGGTTGACGGGGCGAAGCGAGCGAGCAGAATTTCCAGCCCCGTGGCTTTCGTCAGCGCGGCAAAGACGTCGCGGTCGGTTCGAGACAGGCTCGTTGGATCGTCCAGCGTCACGCCTGGCTGGCAGCCGTACACGAAGCGGCTGCAAGGCGCGAGGATGCCTTTCCGATGACCTTGAACTTTTTGATGGCCGCGCGCAGTGTCGCTGGCAGCGACGGAATCGTGCCGCATGCCGTGACGTCAAAGACCAAGAGAACGCGCGCTGCGTCGTCGGCAAAGATAGGGCGCTCGTGGCCGTACATGCTGAGCCATGGCACGACGTCAGTGCGGGTCGAGGCCATCTCGAGGGTCGTGTGAACCGTGTTGTAGCGGAGCTCCCACACGTCACGCTCTGGTGTGAGGAGGACGTAGACCGTGGCAAAGCCGGTGGCGGGCAGCAGAGTCGCGCCGCCGAGCCAGACGCAGCGCAGTTGCAGCGCGCAGAGGCCGCCGCGGCCGAGAAAGGTCTGGACCAGCGTGTGAAGACGACTCGACCAAGCAGCGTCAAGAGCGCAGAGCGAGCGCGGAACGCAGCCTGCGGGATACTCCTGGACGAGACCAGCGACGTCTGTCGGTGTGAGCAGCTGTGGTAGCAAGGCGTTGGCGATGCGCAAGTCCGGGCGAGGGCACCGACCAGACGTGCAGAACGCCGCATCGATGACCTGGCGGTACGCTGCTTGGCAGCGCTGGTGCTGACGCTCCTGGGCCCAGAATGGATGGAGGTCCATCAACTGCGAGTTCTCGTCGTCGATCGGCCAGTCGCCCCACTCCTCGGTCATGACGAGCGAGCTGTCGACCAGATGTAAGATTCGAAATGCTGTTTCGCTGCACAGACACTGTTTACAGTATAGCGTTTGCAAGACACTGTTTGATGCAGCAGCCAGAGTACGACTGGTACTTGAGTCTGAATCGACTTGCACAACACTGCAACTACAAGTGTGCGATGACGCGTTCGCTACGTTAGCTCTAGGCCAGGACAACGCGATAGGATACGAGACGTCGCTGCGATGGAGAGCAAAAGAGTAGCAGCAGCGCCAACCCGAGCACCGTCACCAACTTCCACCGTGGCAGCGATTCTGCCAGGACCACGCGCACGAGGGTATGTATCATCTCTTGCCAGAGCCGGGCCCGGGTTGGCTACTGCTGCTACTCTTGTGTGACATCGATTTTCCTTCTCGCGCTGGCTACCGAGGGAGAATCGTGAGAGAATGGATTTTACAATGCGAGAGAAATACCTTGTAAATGCCATGGACGACGGGAAAAGGAGCGCGCGGACGGGGTCGAAGCGCGTGCCGTTTGCTTACGAAGCAGGAATCCACCGACTAGACAAAAAGCGCTCGACAGAATGTGAGCGCCAACATGGCATTGAAACAGTTGCAAAATGCAAAATCAGTTGCGTGTCGTTAGTCTATGATGCGACAGGCTCAATTGACCAGCTTGGACCACATCCATGTGGAAGCGTAGCTCTCGATGTGGTTTGCAGTGCAGAGTGGACGGGCTCTAGTGTAGGTACACGACAATGATCGGCGTCGTCGGCTGTGCTATGCAACACGAGGGACCACACACCCCGACGACACAAAGACACGCTGTAGGTACGACGTGGCCAACGGACGCTAAATCCACGCGCCTTTAGCCGGCGACTGCGCGCGGTTAGCAGAAGCGTTGCGGCGGCGACGTCCTGCATGCATGTATGACCTGGGCTTGTCGTGTGCCAATCTATGATCGCACGATCTCGATGGCGCGAAGCTCCCACTCGACAGGTTCTAGAGCGCCTGGTTGATGCAGATCTCATACCGGTTGATCAGACCGGCGCCGGTCATTGTCGGATTCCAGTCACCATAAACGCGGCGGATGGTATCCCAAACCAAGGTTAGCCACCGAGTCGATAACGCTAGTGTCGTCCGGAAGGTTTGAGCGCGTAGCCTGTGGCGGTCACAGGCGAGCGAGCGCTCGCTTTAACCGGTTACTGGTCAAAGGTCCTTTCTTGCAGTCGACGCTTTGTCGCCAACGTGCTTGAGCTGTACGTAGTTTCCACCACAAGCGCTCTCGGTAGAAGCAGTACCAAGCATGAATTGTACTGGGCAGAGCGAGTGGCCAGGTCGATCGTGTTGAATCAACACAACCAAGTTGCGTGGGATTAGTCGATGCCCTACAAAGCGGATTTAAAACGTGTAGGACAATATAATGTTTAAATCCTGCGCTCGAATACAAATATCAAGTTGTCAATAAAATAAGATTAAAACGATATCGTACTTAGCGTCGGCGAAAGCGAGGGACGGAGGATTTCCCAAGCGGCTTTGGCTCTGCAGCATGCTTCGCTGCGCCCGCGCCCTTCGGTGGCGACCGCTCTCGTCCACGGCGTACCCGTCCATGTCCAAGCTCAATGGCACCGACGCGCATGGCGCGCGGCGACCTCGCGCCTACGCCTACGCGCAGCACCGCGACCTCAACGAGTCGAAGCACCGCACCGAGCACTTGCCCAAGTCCCATCGGCTCAAGGACGGCCGCCCGGTCATCACGGTCGTTGGCGTCGGTGGCGCCGGTAGCAACGCTGTCAACAACATGATCTCGTCGCAGCTGGAAGGCGTCGAGTTTGTCGTTGCCAACACGGACTGCCAAGCGCTCGCGCGGTCGCTCGCCCGGCGCAAGGTGACCTTGGGCAAGGACATCACAAAGGGTCTTGGAGCCGGCTCCAAGCCAAACCTCGGTACTTCGCCGGCTGCATTGACGAAGAGGACTCAGCTGGCTCGTCGTAGGCAAGAGCGCGGCCGAGAGCAGCCGCGACGAGATCATGGCGCACTTGGACGGCAGCAACATGCTCTTCATCACAGGCGGGATGGGCGGTGGCACCTGCACGGGCGCCGCGCCCGTGATTGCGAGCGTCGCACGCGAAATGGGCATCTTGACGGTCGGCGTTGTAAGCACGCCGTTCCGGTCCGAGGGCCCGAACCGGTCGCGGCTGGCGCTGGCCGGCGTGCAGGCGCTGGCCGCCGCCGTCGATACGCTCATCGTCGTGCCCAACCAGAACCTCCTCGCCCTCTCGACGCCCGATACGACCATCGTCGACGCCTTCCGGTAACCTCTCTTCCATCGTGCCCATGGCTCATGCGCTGTAGGTATGCGGACGCCGTGCTCCTTGAAGGCGTCAAGGGCGTCACGGACCTCATCGTCAAGCCGGGTCTCATCAACTTGGACTTCGCCGACATCAACACGATCTTGAGCAAGGCCGGCCGCGCCATGATGGGCTCGGGTACGACGAGTCTGTGCATGATCCGCTTGATTCAAGAAACGACCTGCGTAGGCCAAGCGTCGGGCGACGACCGAGCGCAGGTCGCTGCCCACGCCGCGCTCAACAACCCGCTCCTTGGCGAGCTCCCGATGGACTCTGCGTCCGGGCTTCTCGTGACGATCCGCGGTGGCGAGGACATGACGCTCTTTGAGGTTGACGCGATCATGAGCATCATCCGGGGCTGTGTCTCGGAGACGGCCAACATCATCTTTGGGACGTGCTATGACCCGTCCAGCGAAGGCTCGATCCACGTCTCGATCATTGTGAGCGGGATCAAGACGGACAACTGGTCGCCGCCCGCGGGCAAGGGCTCCGTGCCCAAGCAGCCGCGCGTCTCGAGCGGCGACGCGGAGCCGACCAAGCCACCAAAGAAGCACGCACCCGGCTTCTTGTCCAAGTTTTTCAACTGTAATCGACCACTGGTGCCACGTGTCGGTCGCATGTTGGCTTGTCGTGAGGGAGACGAAGCGGCGGCAGAGGACCGCAGGCGGCGCTTGGACAGAGAAGGGTGTAGAGAGGATGGGGCCCTTGATCATGACAGACCCCGGTGTCACGGCAACCCCGATGCTCGCTAGCATCGCTGCGACCTTGTCCGAGTAGCCCACCGCGTTGAAGCAAAAGCCAAGAAGAAATGAGACGGCGATGCAACGGTTCGATGTAGAGTCAACTGCGACTGCCATCCACTCACTGCTGCCGACTCTGTCCTGATCCCATGGCCTGAAACGAGGTGAGGCGACCAAGCCACCAAGAGACTCTATCGATAGGCAGCGTTCGCGTCCATCGAATCGAACTCCAGCGCATCGACCTCTTGACCGTGATAACGAAGCCAAGGCCGAACGCGCGCGCGATGTGGCTCGGTCCCAAGAGCGCATCGCATGGGCTTGGACGTCAGGTCGCCAGGTCTTCTATTCTCGGTGCTACAAAGGCTCTAGAGCCTTTTGAAAGTAGCTTACGCAGCAGCTCGCGCCAACTGGCCGCGCGGCTTCGTCAACCTCCACCAGCCAAGTTACCATCGCACCGACCACCTGCTGTCAACCACTAATACCACCGCGAGCTATCACCGCGAGCTATGCATACCACATGTCAACGCGCGAGACAGGCTGGGGGAATGCGTAGGTGGTGGTGGTGGTACGGCCGATCGAGGTCATGGGCTCCTATCACGCCCGGCACACATCGCAGCGCTTGGTTGGATGTAGCACCGTCTGGTCCTGGGAGCCGATCACTGCATCGACAGACCGTCGTCACGCTCAGCATCCACGCGAAACGCAGCGACGCCTTTCTAACCCTAACCGCCCCTATTCCATAGTCCTTATAGGCAAAACATGACTAGAAAGACGAAGATGTATTATTAGGGGCTGTTGGGCGGCGACGTGGCCGACGACGTGACGCGCGCCCGCCGCAGGCAAATGATGCTGGCCGACGTCATGATGATGGCCGCGCCAACGATGCTGAGCGGGCTAATGAACTCGTGGAGGAAGAGGATGTCCCAGATGAACACGAAGACGATGTCGAGGTAGCGCATGACCGAGCCAATGCCGACCGACTCGAGCTGGAAGCCCTTCGTCAAGCACACTTGGCCGAGGAAGCCGAGGACGCCGCTGCCAATCGCCGTGAGCCAGAGGTCCCAAGTGAGGTCGAAGGTCACGTTCGAGGGCCAGAGGACCATCGCGAGTGCCGAGCCGGCCATGCACGAGAGCGAAAAATAGTGTACGATCGTCAGCAAATGCAGGCCGACGAGCTTGCGCACGAAGACATAGTCGAGCGCCGACATGAGGGCCGAGAGGAGGCCGGTCCAGACCGCGAAGGCCGCGTACGGGCCGAGGATCTTTTGGTCGGCGTCCGGGTCGTCGCCGAAGAGAAAGGTCGGGCGCGAGACGACGACGACGCCGCCAAAGCAGCAGAGTGCGCAGAAAAAGTTGACCACGTCGATCGTCTCGTTGAGGAGGAGCGCACCGAGGAAGAAGGTCATGACGGGGCTCGTGAAGATGATGACGCTGGCGTCCGCGAGCACGAGCTGGGACATGGTCCAGAACGAGAGTGCCATCGAGAGGAACCCGGCGACGTTGCGCACAATGAGGTTGAACCGGTTCTCGTATTCGACCGTGAGGTCGATCTTGTAGTAGAGCACGAAGCACTGCATCATATCGTATGAGCCATCACACTAGAGTCGCAGGTGCAAGAAGCACGTACGAGGTTGATGAGCCACGCAAAGCAGGAGCGCCAAAACACCGTCTCCATCGCCGAGAAGAAGTAGCTCTCATACCTACGCGCGCATGAGCCTCCATGGTACCACGACCATCAACGTACTTGATGGCACTCGACATGAGGCTAAAGGTAAAGGCGGAAAACGAGATCAAGATGAGCCCAAGCAGCGGGAACGGCGCGTCGGCCTTGGGCGTCGACGGCGGCGTGACGAGCGGGAGGAGCTCGCCCTTGGACATGGGCTTGGCGGTCTGCTGGAGCATGCTGCGACTGTGGGCGGCGAGTGAAATTGCAATCTGAGCGTCGAGCTCGAGACGGCGTCGAGCGCATGGTGTACTTTTTGCACTTACCAAGACCGTCTCTAATTTATGGGATATATCCAAATCGTCTCGTTACGTCGGAACGTCAGCCAGTGACGGTCGCATCCGTGACCCTGCGAATGGACACAGATAGATACGAGAGGTTGGGAGCTGGCACGGCCACTGAAAATTTGTATCGTCGCGACGAGATCCCCAAAGCTCCGCGAGAGTCGGAACGTCAGATAATGCAGAGGGGCGGCTGGTCGTAATCGGGTGCGACGAGACAAGGACTGACGTCCAAACGTCCGCGTTCATGCCCTTAAGCGCGCCGGCCTTTCACGAGGCAATCGTATCGGGCGGCCACGCACCACTCGAATGTGTTGAGATTCGTAGGATCATTGCGTGGGGTTTCGAAGAAATAGTGTGAGATTCAGCGCCAGTGAAATGAAATCTTAGAAATCTTATATATATCGCCAGTGATTCTAAGCCGCGAGAGGAGTATCGTCATCCATGTGCAGCCGAGCCAACGAGGAAGGGGCTCGCGGGCGATGCGCTGCCCCTGCATCGAGGTGCGATACGAAGGCCAAGAGGCCATGCGTGCAACCACGCGCCATGTCGGAACGTGGCATGTCGCAGCTGCCCACCTTATTTTTATTCACCGAGGCGCATCCGACGAGATTCTTTCTTGCAAGGACGGGCGTTACGCACGCTCCGCTGGTGTCGACGGCCCCTGCGATTGGTGCGGCCAAAGCCAGTCGTTGACAAGCGATGCACCACCTCGCAGCGAACCAAGCTGCTGGGCTCAACGAAGCCATCGCTAGGTACTGTAGTAGCTAGTTCTGGATGAAAAATCGCTGGTTCCAAGCTTCGCCGCGTCGAATCAACCGGGACCTTCCGTCGATTCCGCGCACTGGGAGCCACTCTTTTTGCGTACGATCTGATCGCCGTCCATGAAATAGTGTGTGTTCCTCCATGGACACACGCGTCCGTTTCCCTAAAACCAACGCGTGGAGCCCTGTATCGCAGCAATGCTCTCGGACTATTCTCTGTAAAAGATACAAAAAGCAAAGATAGAAGGGAATGATACGTCTGCCTTTCCTGAACTTCAACGTGAAGCGATCCAAAGCTACTCACTCGCCTACGCGACAACAAGAATCGGTGGCGGCCGGCGCGCCCGTCGGAGCGCAATCGTGATGGCCGAGGCCATGATGATAGCGGCGCCAAGCATGCTCCATGGGCTAATGACCTCATGGAGGAAGATCGTGTCCCAGATGAACACGAAGACGATGTCGAGGTAGCGCATGACCGAGCCGGTGCCGACATCTTCAAGCTGGAAGCCCTTGGTCATGCAGACTTGCCCGAGGAAGCCGAGGACGCCGCTCACCAGCGCCAGAAGCCAGAGGTAGCCGAGATCCAGCGTCACATTCTACTCGACACAGCTTTCGAACCAACCCCACGTGGCGACCGTCGTACCGTCGGCGAGATCGCCATCGCAAGCAGCGACCCAAGGCTGCACGTGAGGCTAAAGTAGTGGATCATCGCGAGGAAATGCACGTGCTTGAGCTTGCGCACGAAGACGTAGTCGAGCGCTTGGAGCGCGGCCGAGAGGAGGCCCGTGCACACCGCGAGCGTCGGCGACGGCGGCGCATCATTTGAGACGCCGACGAGCCACGCTGGCCGCGCGACAAAGCCGACGCCGACAAAGCAGACGAGCGCACAGCAAAAGTTGACGCCGTCGATGGCCTCGTGCAGGAACAAGGCGCCCTAGCCAAAGCAGATGATGATGATGATGACCGCCAAGGGCAACGTCGGATCCTGTACGAGGAAGAAGGACATGACGGGGCTGGTAAAGATGATCACGCTCGAGTCTGCAAGCACGAGCTGCGACATGGTGTAGAAGCCCGTCGCCATCGAGAAAAAACCGACGAGGCTGCGCGTCGCCAGATTGCGGCGGTCGGCCGGCGCCACCGCGAGCGAGATGCCGAGGTACCATACAAACACCTACATATTGCACGTCGTCCCGGAGCAGCAAGGAGCGCGACGCACGAGGTTGATGAGGCCGGCGATGCTGGAGCGCCAAAAGACCGTCTCCATGGCCGCGATCGTAAAGCTCTCGTACCTACCGACATGGCGGTCAGAGGTGTGGACGTGCTTGGAGGGGTTGTGCACTTGATGGCGCTGGACATGAGGCTAAAAGTCAGCGCTGAGGCCGCTATGTACGTGAGCCCGAGGAGCGAGTGGTGCGGCGGCGACAAAGGCGGCGGCGATTGCACGAGCGGAAGCCCCTCGTCCTTGGCCATGGCAATTTGGAAATCGAATGGACGCGCTGCGGGTTGACAGTGGGACGTTGACCTCCGCCGGCTTCCGTTTTCAAATTTGGCGCCAGTCGGCGACCTCGACCAGTTGGTCATGCTAGTGAGCACCTCGCATCCTCCAGAGCTTGCGCTTAATGGTCCTAGAGTCCGAGTCGCACCAGTGTCTGCACTCGAGCCATCGACGGCTTGGATTGGGCTCGAAACATGGCGTTCCAAGCGTCAGGGCTGCTGTAGCGAAGGGACGTGGGCCATCATGTGTGCTCTGGAGCCGTGCATGATCATTTGGATAAGCACGCCCTTTCATCCACGCCCGACGCCCTCCATATGCTATTACTCAGTGCTAGTAGACAGTATGTGCTCTTTACTTTCCAACGTCCAAAGTTGTGGTAGCTAGTGATCGCTGCCACTATTACAACGGCAGCGGGCGTAGCTTGCAGACGTACTACGTCGGCCATATCTCTCGCCAGATTTGCATGTCGTACACTGTCACCGGCAGCAATGTAATAGCGGAAGGGTGTCGCTAGAGGATCGCAAATTACATTCGGCCATGCGTGCTCCTCTGCCGCCCCTTGCTTTGCGTGTCACTGCCTCCGTGTGACCGACTGCAACTCGCCTCTTCAACAACCGTGTGCAAGTAATAGCAGGCACGACGCTCGTCCACGCGTCATCGCAAGCTGGTCGCGCTATCAGATCTGGGTTGCGTCGATGGTTTTCTAGTCTGGTACACTGGACTAGATTAGAGAGACTCGATTGTCTGGAGCATTTTTATTGTCCAAGGCGCGTCGTCTTGGGTGCGACGTCATCGGTGACGCGCGTGCCATCTCTGCCGGGAGTCCAAAAGTATCTTGTACTTTGTATACACCGCTGGATGACTACAATCCGCACGCCAGGATTGTTTTTATTGAAATACACTGAATATTTGTATCCAGTGCGCTGAATGGTGATATTAATATGCCGCCAGGATCAGCGACACGAGGCGAAGAGGCAGTAACAAGACGCTGTTACTTACAGCGGTTGGCCACTTGGGTTCAGTATTGCATACAAACACCGGATGGGATCGACTTTGGAAAGCATTGGGGCAGAGTATAGTATAGTAAAGCAATGCTCTTTCTACGATCCGAACACACCCGCAAGCCAGTGTCATATTCGCCAGCCTCCGGAAGCATCTACCTACGACCATGGGCGTCTGCTCCAGCTCCGAGTCCGCAGCGCACCCGCCCCGCCCGATCATCTCCGACGTCAACACGGGCACGGGCACCGGCCACAACCCGCGCCCGACCGGCCCGCAGCCCACCGGCCCGGTGCGCCCGCCGGTCAAGCGCGATTCCAAGGAGATCCCTGTCGGCGGTGGCACGCCGCCGTTGGACGTCAACTGGCACAACTACGACGAGCTCGTGCCCTTGAAGAACACGTACTGGATCAACGCCGACGACGTGACCCGCATCCGGTCGGTCAACTCGAACTACATGAAGACCGAGATGGGCAACCTCAATGGCCACCCCGTGCTCATCAAGAGCTTTGACCTGACCAAGTCGCAGGAAGAGATCAACAAGACGCGCAAGATGCTCATCTCGGAGGTCACGTCCATGACGCGCATCAGCCACCCAAACATTGTCAAGTTTCTCGGTTTCAACATCACGCCCGACTATGGCCTCTGCTGCATCTCCGAGTACATGGACGGCAAGACGCTGCGCCACCTCCTCGACAACCCGCGTCAGGCGTCCAAGCTCTCGTGGGCCAACGAGAAGATCTCGATCGCGATCGATATTGCGTCGGCGCTCGCCTACATGCACTCGCTCAAGCCCGTGCTCATCCACCGCAACGTCAAGGCGGCCAAGATCCTCCTCACGTCCAAGAAGACGGCCAAGCTCAGTGGCTTTGGCGCTGCCCGCGACCGCACGTTCGAGTACGAAATGACGACGGGCGTTGGCGACATGCAGTGGTCCGCCCCCGAGCTCCTCCTCGACGGCGAAGACTACACCGAGCAAGTCGACGTCTACTCGTTCGGCGTCGTCCTCACGGAGCTCGACACGGGCGACGTTCCGTTCGTCGAAGAGATGGCGACGATGACCAAGGCCGACATCACGATGAAGCTCGTGACGGGAGCGCTCCGGCCCAAGCTCTCGCCCGAGTGCCCGCCGTGCATCGTACGCATCGTCAAGCAGTGTCTGCAGCAGGACCCGCTTCTGCGCCCGCGCAGTGACAAGATCCTCGAGCTCCTCAAGCAGGCGCAGCAGACGCTCCAGCAGCAGCCGTAATCGATCCCATGGTAGGATCGATACCTTTAACGTATATATGATGATTATACCTCTACTCGCATGTCCATCAACCAAGTGCCCCCAAGCGACAGGGCCAAGCATCGAGTCGCGCCGACGACAAGCGAGGGAGGCGGGTTGTGATTGCTTGCCGCCAGGTCGGAGCGAAGAGGCTAGAAACACGCAACCAACATTCCACTGTCGCTGCTTGTGGGCCTCTCAGCCACCATCCTAATAACGAGGGTGATCGCATAGAGTACTGTTCCCACCGTAGCATCCCGCCACCGTCGTCCTCGGTAGACGATGCAGCCTTCGCTGTGCCTCCGACCCACGACACTTGGTCCCGAGAAGTGAGCAGGCCGCAATAGTTGCGTGCATTTAGCTGCGCCTGTCGCCGGGCTGAATTTTGTGGCAAAGATTTGCACTTCTTTTTCGCAGCGGGATGGGCAACAGCAACGGCAAGCACGAGACCGAGCTCTCGCAGAGCGGGACGCGCATCGAGCACAGCAAGCGCCCGGCGACAAACGCGCCGGTGCACGCACCGACGACGACCGGGCCGCCCAAGGTGCTCGACAGCTGGGACTACTACGCGGAGCTGGAGCACCTCAAGCCCGCGTTCTGGATCGCGCCCGACGACGTCATCCGCGTGCGGTCGATTCCGTGCAACTACATGAAGACGGACCTCGGCAACGTCAACGGCGAGCCCGTCCTCATCAAGTACCTCGACCTGAGCAAGAACGAAGACGACATCAACAAGAGCCGGAAGATGCTCATGTCGGAAATCAGCTCCATGACGCGCCTCCAGCACAGCAACGTGGTCAAGTTCCTCGGCTTCAACTTTACACCCGAGAGCGGCCTTTGCTGCATCTCCGAGTACATGGACGGCAAGACGCTGCGCCACCTCCTCGACAACCCGCACGCGGCCGCCAAGCTCTCGTGGCCCAAGGAGAAGATCGCGATCGCCATCAACATTGCGTCGGCGCTCGCCTACATGCACTCGCTCAAGCCCGTGCTCATCCACCGCAACGTCAAGGCCTCCAAGATCCTCCTCTCGAGCAAGAAGATCGCCAAGCTCAGCGGCTTTGGCGTCGCGCGCGACCGCACGTTTGAGATGGAGATGACGACGGGCGTCGGCGACATGCAGTGGTCGGCGCCCGAGCTCCTTCTCGACGGCGAAGACTACACCGAGCAAGTCGACGTCTACTCGTTCGGCGTCGTCCTCACGGAGCTCGACACGGGCGCGGTTCCATTCGTGGAGGAGATGGCGACGATGAACAAGGCGGAGCTCACGATGAAGCTCGTGACGGGCTCGTTGCGCCCGCAGCTCTCGCCCGACTGCCCGGCGTGCATCGTCAAGATCGTCAAGCAGTGCTTGCAGCAGGACCCGCACCTCCGCCCGCGCAGCGACAAGGTCCTCGAGCTGCTCAAGCAGGCGCAGGCCGAGCTCGCGGCCGGCCCGTAGCGTGTGTTTTTTAAATTCTTAGTTAACGTTTTGGTGGCAGCCTCGGTCCCACACAGTGTTTGTTACTCACGGGCGGCGATCAGGCGGCGTCGCTGGCCCAGCTGCCTCCTGGCCGTCACGAGGCCTTGGCCTCGACCACTGCATCGTCTGCTTCGTTCCTCGTTGTCGTGCGTCCTGCTGCGCGTCGCCATGGCTACCGATACACTGTTGTGCAGCCACTGGAAGGTGGCATCCAGTGCATCGACGAGTAATATCGGAACCGGGTGGCAAGCCTCGCGGTATATTTAAAAAGCAAGCACTTGATATTGGTAAGTGGATTAAAATGTCGGAATAAAAAGAGGATTGGAATGGGATATTTGTACCCGATCGTGGTGGCGAGGAAACGCTTTCTAGCTGCCATGGGCGGGTGTCTCTCGACGGCCGCGCCGCCAGCGCCGATCGAGGTCGATGGCATCGCACTCGCCGAGGCCTCGCCGACCAAGCCCGAGCCGCCACGGTATGCGGCGACGGCGACGCCACCGCCATCGCCTCCGCGGTCGCCGGTCGCCGACTGGGGCACGTACGCGCAGCTCGAGCCCTTCAAGCACACGTTCTGGATCGACCCGGACGAGATCATCCGCGTGCGCACGCTTCCAAGTGAGTACATGAAGACCGAGATTGGCAGCTACATCGGCGAGCCCGTCTTGCTCAAGTCGTTTGACGGCAACGGCGACGACATTGCGGCGCGCCGGAAGCTCCTCGTGTCCGAGATCCTCTCGATGGCCAACATCCGCCACCCGAACATCGTGGCTTTCCTCGGCTTCAACATCACGCCCGAGTATGGTCTCACGTGCGTCTCCGAATTCGTCGACGGCAAGACGCTGCGGTACCTCCTCGACCTCCCACGCACCTCGTCCAAGCTCACGTGGGCCAACGAGAAGATCTCGATCGCGATCGATATTGCGTCGGCGCTCGCCTTCATGCACTCGCTCAAGCCCATCGTGATCCACCGCAACGTCAAGGCCTCCAAGATCCTCCTCACCGGCGACCGAACGACGGCCAAGCTCAGCGGCTTTGGCGTCGCCCGCGCGCGCACGTACGAGGCCGAGATGACGTCGCGCGTCGGCGACGTGCCATGGTCCGCCCCCGAGCTCGTCCTCGACGGCGGCGACTACACGGAGCAAGTCGACGTCTACTCGTTCGGCGTCGTCCTCACCGAGCTCGACACGTGCGCGGTGCCCTTCGCCGCCGAGATGGCCGAACTCGGTATCGCCGAGGTCACCATGCAGCTCGTAACCGGGTCGCTTCGCCCCAAAGTCTCGGCCGACTGCCCCAAGTGCATCGTCAAGATCATCAAGCAGTGTCTCCAGCTTGACGCGACCCTCCGGCCGCGCAGCGACAAGGTCGTTGAGATGCTCCTCGCCGCTAAAGACGAGCTCGTCGCACGACCGCCACCCAGCGCGCCCCGGAGCGCAGACCCCACTGCGACGGTCGCGCTCTCGCCGTGAAGCAACTAACGATATAACGATCCACGCAGACAGAGAGTACTATATAACATGCAACCCTTGTCCTAACCGTACTCTAACCGGTTCAAAGCGACGCTTGAAACTGGGGAAGTTTCAAGCATGCCCACCGACCGGTTCCACAAGTTCCTCGAAGCGCGGCAGCTCGTGCTGCACTCGGCGTCATGCGTCGGCGTCTTGGCATCGCCGCACCTGAGCCTCCGCGCGTACAAGGCCCGCAACGCGGCGCCGTCGCTCTGGAAAAGCATGAGCCGCGCCGCCACGGGCGCGACCGTCGACCGCTTCCGATCGGTCCGCTGATGCTCGTCCACCCGTCGTCTCTTCATGCGGATAGGTCTTGTGCAGATCCTCGGCGCCAGCGACGGCGACGACATGTGCGCCGCGAGCCTTCTGGACGCGCGCCTCGACGTGCCGATTGCGATCCATGCGGACGCACCGGATGTGGCCGAGAGCTACACGCGTGCAACGCGCGGCCTCAAGCCGGTGGCCTTTCCGCCCATGACGGACGCGCTGCCGCACGCGCTGGCCCACCGCCGAGCGTACGACGAGCACATCGAGGCGCTGCGCTGCGAGATCGACGCCGCCGCCGGCTTCCACGAGATCGCCGACCGTCCCGTAGTGTAGCCAGCCTGGAGTGCGAATGTGAATGAAGAAGAATGCTAGCGCAACTCGCACACGGTGGTGCGGAGGAGGTGCCGGATCGGGATCGCGTTCGGCAGCAAGCGCGTCTTCTCGGCGTGGATCGTGGCGTCGATGACGTGAAAGCCGTAGACGCGAAAGACCCATCGGCGCAGCAGCGCGTTCAGCATCAGCAGCGGGTAGTCGTTGACGTGCACGAGGAACACGCCGTCGACGAGGACGTAGCCGAGCAGCCAGACGCTCGAGGCCGAGACGTACGACCAGCCGCTCACCGCCACGAACTCGTCGAGCGGAGCCACGAGGCCGTACACTTGGCAGAGCTGCGTGTGCAGCACGGCCTCGACCGCGACCGACGAGACGTCCTGAAACGAAAACGTCTTTCGCACTGGCCCGACGGGCCCGACCTTGCTCAAGGACGATCGCCGTCGGCGCGACGCGCTCTGTGTCGCAAACGTGTGGACCACGTCTTCGGAGCGGAGGCGCATGTGGTGCATGTGGCGCCACGTCATGCAGCGTCGACGGTCCATATCCACCATGTTGCAACCTTTCGCGGCGAGGGCATACCCACAACAAAGGCAACTCGCAACGACCCACCACGTCATTTGGGTTGCAACCACGGCTCCGTTCGTGCTGAAGTTCTCATGGCTCGTCCAGAGGTCCATCCCGTCCACATGGGCCTCGAGGATGTTGGCGAGGTAGTTGGCCTTCACATACGCGTTGGTTGCGTCCAGCGCAAGGCCGTGCGTTGCCACAATATCGTCGCTCAGCTGGTAGCAGATGACGTAAATGCTGACGGCGACCTCGAGGCGCAGGCGGATGCGCACGGCGTTGGCCAGTGTGATCATGAGCCCGAGGTACACCATGAGGGCGTCCGCACGGATGATGTCGGTCAGCACAAAGCTGTTGGTCCAGCCTTCGCGGGCGTTGGCCGTGCACAGCGCGTACTCGTAGAGGTGCCAGCCATTCGTGCACGCGAGGACGAGAAGGCAGAGGAGCGCGCGCAGCTGGAGCCGCGTCTGAACACACGGAAAGACGTCGGGCACCCACAGTACGCGGTGCGCGCGGTACATGTGCAGCGCGACGACGAGCGCGACGGCAAAGTGCACGAGCAGCGTGAGGCCGACGCCCATCGAGAGCAGCATGCGAACCCACGCGAACGAGTCCTTCGACATGTCGGTCGTCAAGTACGAGACGAGTTCAACAAACTCGAACGGATTGTTTGGCAGCGCCCAAATGTAGTGGTCGTAGTTGGCCTGCGTGCTGTGGGCGACGCGGTAGATGCCCTCGGTGCCCGCGACGTGGATCGTCTCGCCCGCCGACCCGCCTAGCGTGCCCTGCCACATGCCATCCAGCGTCAGCGTCGGCGCGAGTTCAAGCGGTGTGAACGCCGAGAGGACGTACGGAAAGTCGAGGCCGACGCCATGCACATACGATGCGCTTACCGCGGCGGAGGACGCGAGGGCCAGCGACGTCAAGGTCGCGACGCCGCAGGCCATGCTCAGGCGCTTCGTCGGCCGCTTGAGGACCATCGTCTGCAGGAAGAGCGTCGAGAGCGACGTGGCGTTCGCATCGAGCCAGTGGACCTTGAGCGCCGTCGTGTCCTGCACCACCCGCGCCGTGAACGTGCAGTCGATGAGGATCGTCGCCGGCTCTGGCACGCCCGGTGCGGCGGCGAGGACGCGCGGCAGCAGTTGTCCTAGGTACGACGACGCGTAGATGCGGTCGCCGGGCAGCGGGCTCGCGCACTGCGACGCACTGAAGCCATACCCTTCTTGGCTGTCGTCCGCGTCGATGTAGAGAAGGCGCGGGACCGGGCCATGCACATGCAGCGACCTGTTGGCCATCAGCGCCGCCGCAACCAGCGGCATGAGGCTGCTCGTGTAGTTGGACGACGCGCGGAGCGGGCCCCGGGCGCCGACGAGGGTCGCCCGCATGGCCGCCGAGCCCTGGAGCTCGATGAAGAGCACGACGACGGCCGCGGCCAGCGAGAGGACGCGGCTGATCTGCGTCGCCCAGGCCATTTAGCAATGGCTGCGTCCTGTCTGCCGTTACAACCAGACAACGCGATTTCGACACGTGGATATATATATCCGTTCTTAGTAGCGCGCAATGGCGGCCGAGAGCAGCTGCATGGCCTCGCTCAAGAGCGCTTCGTTGCGCGCCGTCATGACGAGCTCGTCCGTGTCCGTCTTGACAAAGCCGACCGCGCGCAGGAAGGCGAGGCCGCCGAGGAGCGACCCGACGCGCTTCTTGAAGGCCGCGTTGCCGCCGTTGATTTTCGAGTACTTTTCAAACTCGGTGGGCTTCTCGAGCACGTTGCGCACGTAGATCTGCAGCGTCTTGAGCGCCGTGAGCCCGTCGCCGCCGACGCGGTACTGCATCAAGCGGTCGACCGCCTGGCCG